ATTATTATTTTTGTTTCTAGTTGCTAGTATGATATCTTTTCTTATCGAGAACCGTTATTTACAGTGAGGTAGAAATTTGGTGGATAATTTATTGTGTTCTTCTTTATGGACTCTTTGGACGATTTACGTGGAGGTGCTGATAATCCTGTTTGTGGTATTAATGAGGATAACGATCGTGGCAAGGGTATTATGTTTTGTGGATCATCCGTTACTATTATTTGTGATGTAGACGATGATGACATTACATTTGCCACATGATTATCTGTTGTTTTATTATCTGTTACTTTATTTAGTGATGGAATTGAGAGCGAACTATGATGGGAATAAGTTTTTATACCAAACTCGGGTGGAAGTTTAAATATAGATTCAGATTTATGACGTTTTTCGAACGAAAATTGTTTCAAGAGTCTGACTGGTTCATCCATAATATCACGTGATTGGATCTTGTTTCCTGTAATTTGATGAAAAAAAATACTACATCAGAAGATGGCATACAAATATAGGACTCCAAATAATACTAATAGAGGTTATATTGTGCATTATCCTTTTCTTTTTTAACCAATCAGATTTGTAGTTGTTTTAAAAAATTTTAGCCATTTTCATATATAATCTTTTTTTGAGGTTCTACACATATTGGTAGTAACTTATCAAGAGTCATCATTCATGCAATTACCTTCAGTAATAGTATGTCGCGTTTGACGTGGAGATCTACGATTTGGCATTGCTGTTTCATGGAAAGCCGAGGATTTTCCACGCGACACATCAACTTTCTTATTTTTAGAAGAATCTTGATTCTTGGATCCATAATCATCGTTTGAGCCGTCCGCATGAGTTTTATACAAAAAAGATTTCTTTATAGCAGCTGCTCTTTCTTTGCCTTTTCGAACACGTGAAACCCTAGAATTAGCCATCTTTGAATCATTTACAGGTCTGATAGGATCAATCTTAATTGTCAAAGAAGGATTTTTACGATGACAAAATGGATCAGGTGAATTCGGATCCACGCGTTGGCTAAATGTCGAAACACTACTGCCACCTGGCATTGCAAAGTTCTGTTGAGGAGTTTGTGGAGAACCTTTTTCTTCGGTTACTACAATCGAATCATCCAGAGAAGGTTCATGTGATAGAAAAGATGAAGTGTTTATACTTTTTCGATTTATCATTGAAGGTCTTACGGGCATAATGTCATTGCCTTTATACGAAAAACAAAATCTTGGCAAATATTTACGAACTGCCTCGGATGTGGTTCCAAAGAATACTATAAAATTGAAATGAGTAAGACAATCTAGTAGACAAAGAATGAGTAAATTATCTAACGTATACCGAATGTGATCCACGGTGTTGCACACATCGTAAAGTCGGCACAAATAACCCAAACGAAATTAATACGGTTCTCGATAAGAAAAGATATCATACTAGCAACTAGAAACAAAAATAATAATTAGAAATCATTATCAGTAACGCATAGATATTTAATTAGCACGATACGATATAATAGAACTCACTAAAAATGATAAAAAAAGGCGCCGTAATCGTGATCCCAAATAGGGCTATTCTTTTATTCAACGAATTATTTACAATCACAAGACTATCGCCTAATTGACCAGTGTCGTATTTAATTGTTAATATAACATTCCTAACTATAAGATATCATATGACATAGTGTTTAATATTAAAGGTAATGTATTTCACTCCTAAATATACTCAAGAACATGAATATAAAAGATTTACCTGAGAATGCTAAAGTTGTGGTCATGGCCGCTACACAGATTAAAAAGATAGCTGTGAGTCTATTGAAATTATTACAATGAAGTTAAGTCAAGCAGACGATTATTAATCGGGAGGCACAGCACATAACCAATACAAAAAGAAAAATAAAATGCTTACATTCCAGACGGAGTAGGATAACAGTAATTGGGCCAAGAAATCATATCTCCATTCATAATAGATTTTATAGAAGCTGCGAAAGCTAAGAACACAGGCACACCCCAACTTATTATTGCATAAACAAACAATAACATCCTAATGGACCATCTATCCCTCCCTTGTAAACTATTAGAATTAAATTGAACCCAAACATTAAAAGCGATACAAACGGGCCATATATCAGAAGCAAGCGTAACATAAATAATTAAAACACCCTGAAGGCTGCAAATGATACTTTGTTCAGATTTTGAGCTTTGAATTAATCGGATAAAGCCTATTAAACTTGATGTTAGTGATGTTAGAAATAATGATCCTGAATAACATGCTATTGTAGGATGATTTTTATGATCTTTGTATACCATCATGAGAATGAATGTTAAAGGAAGAGAGAAGGCATGAATGGAATGATATATAAGACTAAAATCCATTTATTAACCCGCCTTTTATTTGATCATAAAAGTTGAAAGAGATAACACTATTATTATTTCCTTTAAAAAAGAAAAGATCAAAGGACCTGCCGTTGTTGATAAAGGATATGTATATGTGATGAATACGAGCAATTTTTGTCACGAATACCAGCCCTCGGTGGACGGATGGAGATATTCGAGGAATAAAAAAAAGGAATGAAAAATTTTATTATCTAATATTGCTATTGAAGGGCTCGCAACATTAGGGTAAAAAGGTACGGAGGAAGAATCCAACCGGAGTGGAAAATGGGTTTTTTTTCTCTTTTGGCGGGGAAGTCAGATAAAGAGCTTTAAGAAGACATTATAAACGAAAACTATTAAATTTGTTTCCTTTTTTAGACAGCGTCTTTTATTAGATTTGTTGCATTTGCAGGTATATTAAACCTGACGGACCACAGCGTAAGCAAAAGCAAAAGCAAAGACAAAGTAATGGTAAGTAAAAGTACTTTTTAAGCGCTTAGTGCATATAATAATCTATTACAAAATGTATAAATATATATATAATTAAGATATAAGTTTCAGGATCGGAAGCTTCTCCGGGTCTTTTGTTTTATCGGAAATTACTTGCAAAATGTGTTTCATAAAACGTTTTATGTTATAGAATCAAGATCGTTGTAACAAACTTTATGTCAATACAAAACAATGTCATTATCGGACAATAATGTACCGCATTTATCCCAATTTGGATTCTAGTCGGCAAATAAGACATTTATATATCATATAGCACTTTTATAGTAATCTATATCACTTAATATAGGTAAAGGAAACTTTATCGCGCGATAATACATATCGACAAGTTCGTAAGTGTATGAAACTTTTATTCTTTACGCTTGACTTACTTATCTATGATTATTACACAGAATATATATTTCCGAAGAGTAACATGACTGTAAGGTCGAATCCGAGAATTAATTTAACAAAACAATAATAACAATTATAATAATAATAATAATAATAATAATAATAATAATAATAATATAATTAATAATTATAATTATAATTAAGATTAATAATAAATTCAAATTCTCCATCAAAATATTTATTTATAATTAACAAAATCCTAATAAACACATACTTTCGAGGCAGTATCACATTTCTCCTTAATTCAATCCCGTCATTTATTTAATATTTTTTCAAGCAGAATCAATCATCTTCCTAAAGGCTATTTTTTCTCACTTCAGAATCCAATTCCTTGTAAGTGCTCAAGGAACGAAAATACCATTACAAAGAAATTTAATTTGTTTTTAAAACGCCAGATAAATTTTGTACAAGTACTACGTAATCGGTAATTAAAGTCATGCATGCATCGTGATCTACCGCCACGACCAATTAATTGCTCGTTTGGTAGCCAGAGCTAATATATTTTTTGATTCTACGAATGAAATCCCTTAAATATATTAAAGGTAGTACACAATCAAGTTCAAATGCTAATACGAATATTGTTAGGTTAATCATTTTTAATATACGTAAAACGCACATGTTTACTGCAAAATTTGATAATTAAGCATTAAATATCACAAGTTTAAATGCCGCCAAGAAATCATTAAAAGAATATATTGAACTTTGAAACCGTCGTCTTTAAGTTTCATCTCTACAATTTCTACACAAAATTAACTCGAGTGAATTTAAAAAACTCATGTGATCTTCCAAATGAGATCCAAATTGTACACATATATATATACATTTGATAGCGCCATTATATAAATTTAATAAATTTAGGTAACAAGGCCTCAATAAATCACATTTATGACAATAACGATACCAATTTTTCATTCATTAAAATTTTTTTGTATAATTCTTTTAAGTTACGAATACAGAAAAGGACTAGATTTTTTTTAAAGTGGGGATACCACATGAGGTCTAACGTGAGAACTTGTGATATATTTCCGGTATACAAATTACTCAATTTACATACGTAACTGAACTCTGGAAAAAGCAATACGGGATTGGCCTTTTTTTTTTTACAATCCATCATATACATAGTGTTGCTGCATATCAAAAAGTTTCTACACCATGTATGGTTCACCACACAGAGCTGTAATGTATTGCTTGGAACCAGATTGCTTTTTATTCTTATCCGGATAATCACTGGTTTGTAATATGTGGACTTGATGTTTGCAGCATCATATTTATTGTTGCTATACATAGTAAAAAAAATAATAATTTACTTTTATATAATTTAGTCAATAATTTTTTTTTTATAAATATAAGGTAGAGGGAAGTAGTTTCGATTTGGCGTAGGTGGGTAATGTGGCGGATAACACATTATTGAAGTTAAACTTGTTTTATCAACTGATTCTTATACCATTCGAATCGTCTCATCAAGACGAATCGAATAATATAAAAAACATTCGATTTTGATCAACAGATTGTAAAATAATTGTACAAACCTCTTTGATTTAGAGCGGGTGATATGCGGGGGTACGTATCATTTCATAAAACCATTTCATAAAATTATTTCATAGAAACGCATTTCATAGACATTTTGTTTCATAGACAATAAATTCACAGACAAGTTCATTTTGAAGACAATTAATTAACAGACAGTTATTTTATAAATAATCTTTAACAATGAATAACTTCTAATATACTTAATCTATTTTGGATAATTTGATTACCAAATAATCATCTCATCAAGTTAATCGTTTTGGTAATTAAATTATCCAAAAAGGACCATATCAGGAGTTATTTGCTGTTAAAGTTTGTATATAAAATGAACTGTCTGTAAAATGAACTTGTCTATGAATGAAATGTCTATGAAATGGGTTTCTATAAAATGATACTATAGAGTTATTGAATGCGAAGCAACCAATAAGTATACCGTGATCCGTATGATCACGATATTATTGTTACACGACAAATAACGGAAAGTATCTGTAGAATTGGATCGTGAGAGGGGCCCAGACATCGAACGATCAAATTCTACATTAGATACGTCAGTTATTGGTGCGAAGCATTCAATAACGGTATTACTATATCCGGCTCCCTACGTCGATCAGGTACTTGCTCAATAATGAATTTTAAATAGCTTGCATGAACAAGTTTTGAGTTAACATAATAAGAGGTTTTAGAATTAACATGTGGAAATTTAATTTTGACAGAAACAGATAACATATTGATTCTTAAATGTGCGATGTATAACTTTATTTCATTTAATGATAAATTTGAAATGTTGATTTTTGTTGTTAAAAAGTTTATTTATTTCGTTAAATAGAAGTTTTTAAACATTTTGTTTTATTTTTCGATTTCAAAATTTTAATGCACAAATAAGATTTTTAAACTCTTATTTATTTTCGAAATCCTGAAAATCTTTAATAGTTCTCAAACAATTCTCAAAAACAAGTAACAGTTTACAATAATCATTTTAGTGAAATTTTAAAGTTAGCATTTTATATATAAAAATTTAACATATAAAAAATTAACATGGGTGTGGTGATTTAGTGAAGTGGTTAATTTGTTGCATCCCAAGTGGTATGTTAGCAGGTGGGGGTTCAAAACCTATTGATGGCAAAATTTTGAATATTCTGCTTGTAAAACAACTACTGTTTTTTGATGATCAGTTGAACAGAATCTTTGTAACCTTTGTGGCATTAACAAGATTGGGAGATTATAGGATATTTTTGCAATGCATAAGTTAACAAAGGTATGCAAGCCGATATTGGGTGGTATAAATCTAAGATAAGTCCTCATAATCATATTAATTTAATGAACTAGAAAAATAAACATCTGCTTGGTAAGACCCAAGTAGAGATATAGTATAAACTTTTGATGGTGATTACTAAAATAGG